GCTAATGGCTTTCCATTAGGTCAGATTAATGTTTTCTGCAGGTATTTAGCAACAGTGTTTTCGGTTTTTTAGGAATAAATCACTGCTGGACCGGTTGCTTCACCCTTGGGAATAAATCTGCACTTGCAGTGCTTGCTATTAAATCACTTCTGCAGGATAATTCTTAACATCTGCAGATTCAGATCTAAGGATGTCTGTTGCATCCAGCAGCAAATAGATCCTCCTCTTGCGTTCGCGTTGCCGTGACTCAGAGAGGTGACAGAATCTGCCACTGCCACGTCAGACACGGGGCACTGCACGGTCTGGTCAAGTTGGCGAGCTGGATGTTAACCAACCCACCTCACCACCCGCTTTGCGACGGCAGCAAGACCAACCTGCTGCACGCAGGGAAGTCGTGGGCTGTGAACAGGTGTCATCGGAGCGCGTCCACAGCAAAGGATCCAGGAGATAACGTTATGTGGGGACCTGGTATCTGAGGGCTGCTAAGGCAGAACTTGGGTGGCATCAATAAAATAACAAGGGTAAAGTCTTGTGGGTTTTCCCTTTTTTAAAGATGTAATAAATTGATTGAAACCAGATGTTCTCATCTTGAAGAAAATACACACAAAAGTGAAATGTATATGTTTTCACTTGTGTCTTTTCCACAGCACTAGAGTTTAAAATGGTTGTTGACAGCTGACTGGACAGATTTCAGTTGCTAGAGAGGGGATATGGAGAGGCTCGTCCCTTGGTGTTTCTCTTCATTTCAGATTTTTAAATCAGTGCTTCAAGTCATGTCAAAATCCACACTGTTTGCGACCTAGGTATTCTCTCCTTATAGATCTTCAAATAGCAAGAGACCCATTATCACTTCTACTCCTCCTACAGCCCTATTCTTCTCATCTGAGAAATGTTACTTGAAACTTCTATTAATAGAAAATAGGTACATTTGCACTATGTTTTTCATGAAGAAGGTTCTTAAAAATGCTTTATAACTTATACTAATGCAAATTTATATATGAGGATCTTGGATCTGAGGCTCCTCAGAGCCATGCTTCCTAATTGTTTGATATGTAACTAATGGGCTTTACCACCAGAAATAAATCATTAAGTGCTCTAGTTTCTGGATACCCAACTGGAGGCTGGGCCTGACTTTCTGTATATTAAACTCATGCCCTCTGAATGTCAATTCACTTTGAAGTGTCTAAAATAACAGGTCCCAAAACAAACAAATTCAGTCTGATTAGAGACTTCTGAAAATGTTGAAATAAAATAAATAAAATAGAATGTAGTTCCATTAGGTAGAGAGGCAGAATCTTTTTTGCCGTGCATGGTAGCATTAAAATAAAATTTCATACAAAAAATGTAAAATAATACTTCCTCTGTTTTAAGGTGCAGGAGAAAGTAAGATTGTGAGGATGAAATACTTGAATAGAAATTTAACTGAACTTTACATTAAATTTTTGAAGTCTCTTGAAGAAATTTATTATTCACTACATATTAATAGCATATTTGGTTTCTGTTTTACTCATGAAAGAGCAGTTATTCTTGTGAAGAATGACTGCAGTCCTAAGAGAGAACTTTGACATAATATCCACTGTTGAATCATCCTTAAGAAACATACTTAAAGAACATCTCTGTTATTCACAAAAAAACTCTCCAAAATGGTGAAAACTCCAGTTCTGGAGTTCTGCCTCAGACCACATTCCAAAGGAAATCTGCAGTGTTTGTGGCATTTTGCAGATTTGTCAGTGAAAATAAGAGAAAGCATCATCCAGGCTCCACTTTTAAACGCTGCCCTCAGAGTGAGCAAACGAGGCCGTCTTTGAGGAAGCTACAGCACAGAAGAGGCTGAAAGCCTATTCTTGCTCCATCAAAATCAAGAGAAATATTGTCAAGGAATGACAGGAGAGTACAGGTGTCCTGTGCCTGTCTGAGCAGCTGTAGGGTATAACTGGGCTGATGTAGGTCATGGATTGCAGCACTTGAGTAATGGCAGGGAATTGATGTAAGTAGGAATGTGCATGTACATGGTAAAAACTGGTCTTCAACATGGTTAGCATTACAGACAAGCAAAACAAAATATAATAACTTTGTTACAAATGGCATTTTACAGATCTTGACATGTTTGATTGCCTGGATTATACAGAGAAATCATGTCAAGTCTGATTTACCATTAATTAATATGCTTGTGTTCCACCTACACTGTGCATTCAGTACTGTTTTCTATTGCAATTTAAAAGCATGGATTCAAACTACCTCAGTCAATGTAGTTTAAACCAAATGAGCACTTTGCAAAATTTATTTTAGAGACGTTAGTTTTTCTCTTGGGAAGGCCATCCTGCATGGTGCTGAGTCTGAGAGAGGAGCCGAGCGTGCTCCAGGCTCCTGCCTGGCACTCTGTGCTGGCAGGACAGCACCATGACTGTGAGAGCAAATACAGTATCCCTCAAGCATCTGACTTACTTTAGGTTTTTGTGGTGCCTAGAGCTGTCTGTGTTTGGAAATACACAAATCTGAATAAGGAAAACAGCCCTAGAGGGTATTTTTTTTTTTTCCCCCTCTGTCTTCTTGACATAAGGTCTGTGAAGCTCAGTATACTGATACAGAAGGCATGATGAGGGTGTCAGGATGTCACAGGAATGGCACTTTGTAGTCAGAATTCCAGCCCTGGCTTCCTAAAGATGTTGTGTGCCACAATAAATAATTAATAAATATCAGGTTTGCCCAATAAAACTATGTTACTCATTTCTTGGACAGCTGAATACTCTTTTTTTTCACCTATTTGATATAATCAGTAGTCAAAGCTGTGTTTGTATGTGAAGTTTTGACTGGAGATACATTTGTGAAATACTCTGAACATATGGATAACCTGTCATGTATGAGGTATTGGCTAAATAACACTTTCTTTTTATGCACTATATTTCTCTTTTTTTTCCTTTGAAAAACTGACTTTCAAAGGACAGGACAGCTACTTGTCAGAAGGAAAGCAAAGATACAGCCTGCCTTTAATTCTGAAAGATTATATCATTATTGGTACACTCCTCCTGAGAAACCATTTGTGAGGATAGGTTGTTGAAAAGAAGTCTATTGTGATCTCTCATGTTGCTGTAGGTGCCTAATAATATTTTGGCAAAAAATCTGTCTAATGAAAATCAGTTGATAACAATTCAACACGGGACACAGGAAAATCATCTCCCATCTCATATAAAAGAAGCATCTCCAACAATTATTTGGGTACCCAACTCTTGTTGAAATCAGTGCATGATGGAAATTTCTTTATCTTTATGGATCTAAAGTCACAAAATAAGAAATCATTTGTGCCTGTATAGAATTAGTTTGTTTTTGAATATTTATTACCTATAAAATTAATTTTCTTCCTACCACATCACTCCTTCAGGCAGCATCTCTTGATGGTGCTTGTTACAGGCAGGATGATGGAATTTGTTCTGCTATTTCTTCTGTTGTGATTTTTCTCTGATAAAAGACTTTGTTTGTGAGTAACAGTCAAGGAACAACAGCAGTATGAGATGTTCCTTACAGAAAAAAATGGCATGATGGGCTCAAAAATCCTATCACACTGTGATTTTTGTCTTAACTTGCAAAGATAAGATAGTTTACAATGAGTAAAATATAATGTTAATTTAATTGAGAAAATAAAGTAATAAGATTTTTCAGTAATGTAAGCCACTTTACAATTAATATTGTATTGTTTACCATTTATTTTACATGAATTGTTGTTTTTTTTCTTTATGACCTAATTTTCCCTTATCTGGACTCAGCTTTAGTGGGATAATGAGCTTCATAGCTTTATCACTATTAGGAAAGATCTATCAAACTCTTTCAGCATTACAGAGAAATGGGGAAATCTTTCTTTTCCTCCCCCTGCCAAATGCTAAACTCTTTCCACTTAGAAAGTGCTACAATGTCCAATTTTAAACTCCAGAGTTATTTCTGACAAAAAAAAAAAAAAAAAAAAAAAAACCTTTGAGAACAAATACTCACCACAGCCGTGAGATATCAGCAAGTTCATTGCAGTCATTGGAGCAGTGAGTTTAACCTGAGAAGACAAGATGTGGGACTCAATTGTTCTTCAATAAGGTGGAAGGAGGAATATTATAATGTGCAGTGAATTGGAGAAGACATATTGTGGCTTGTCCTGTGAAGGATGTCTGCCTCTATGGCATAAAATCTTGCTCTGTATTCCAAGAAATGTCATTTAAAATGTAGAATGAGTGCATAGCAGGAATAATAATATTGTCTGAGCATCTGAATTTTAAGCACTAAATGTGATACAGAAACAAGAATATTTTTTCTGACAGAAACTGGTGACTAATGCTGCTTTCCTCCTTAACAATATTTGCTTCATCTGGACATTAATCTCTTGGCAGAAATTTCTGGAAAAATTAGATATTTCTCAGTAAAAGTTTATAAGGAAATAAATGTTTTACCTAGCTAACAAAATGGAATTGACAGACTTCAGAGGTGGCAAAGTCTCATTTGTAGTAGAACTAGAGCAACATAATAATTTTCTTTTGTATGTATATAAATAAGTACATATATTTCCTATTACTGTGATAATAGGCTTATACTAAGCCAAATGTGGTTATAAATTATTACTAGCATCTTGTTTGACTAGTATGTCTAGGCAAGTATGTGCCTCCTCCCCATCTGTTTGGCTGATATTTTTCTCTGAAATCCTAAAAGGTGAAAACATTTAAGTTAAATAGTCACACAGCTCTAATTGAGAACCTGCGGGTAGCTCTGTGTGGCACTTCTTCCATCACAATTCATGTCAGCTACGGAGGAAATACTGGAGTACAACTTATAATTCATAATGACTTACTTACATTTTCTTTTTAACTTCCCTCTTTTTGCCTAACCTTCTCTTTTACTTCAGAGCTCTTAGTGAGGACTTTACAACCATAAACAATATATTTATAGTAGACTATCTTGAGAAAGATTTTTCGCTGGTGCTCCTGACTCAATCTGGTGCTTTGTTTTTTGTTTTTGTTTTCTAGTGTGCACAGACAAAGAACTGAGGAATCTCGCTTCGCGACTAAAAGACTGGTTTGGTGCTCTTCACGAGGATGCCAATCGGGTCATCAAACCAACAAGCTCGGAGATGGCACAAGGCAGTAAGAAAACACCTTTCCTGTTGAACTTTGTTGTAGGCAGTTTCCCAGTCTGAGAGAGCATTTGACTGAGCAGAGCTGTTAGTGCTACAAAGTCATGCCAAGCCTAGGTGTCAGCGAGTAAGCAGGTACGCAGGAGACCTGGTCCTGCAAATAAATAGCTGCTCTGTTTTCTAAAGGAGCTGCAGTCATTCTGTGCTGTCTTTGGCCCAAACTGCTCTAAAACCAAGCAGTCAGAGACAGAGAGACCTTTACAAGTTAATCAGGCAAATAACTGTGTCTGAAGGCCATGGAGGTCACATCTATCCTAGTAAATAAAACTGCTCAGGGACTTTTCTCAAGCCCTTAGGTTAACTAGCATGATATAGTCCATGTCAATAGTTAAACTCCACGACCCTCCAAATCAACGTGACTGCATCCAAATTGCTTCTTGGGGATGGACCATGGTGTATGCTTATACCCCAGTTTATGGCCAAGCATTTTCTGACCCAATGTCAGTGGCATGAGCCAAAAAACATGGCATATAAGCATAGGGAAAATTATGCTAGTGTTGGAGAAGACTCACTTCAATTTTATTTTGCAATTTTCTGCTAACACCTTATATAAAAGAAATAATAAGTAAAACATCCCTATCGCAGCCATGGAGCTGGAATAGTTAAATGGTGTGGAAAGCTGGAATCTGTGGTGTCCCAGGTATTTAATAATACCATCTTTGCTTCTTTTGATGCTTTTTTTTTTTTTTTCCCAAAAGAATGGAAGAAAATGAACAGTTTAGAGGACATTTACTCTCTGTGGGTTAAGCCAACATGACCGATTTTGATGTCATTTACCCACCAGGGAGGGGAAAGATTCAGATAACAGCATCAAAAGAGGTCATATTCATCAGAGAGCAGATGTGAATTCATTTTCTGTAAGGACTCATTAATCCTTTTAAATAGTATGTCCCAAAACACACAGGCCCTTGGGTTGCAAAGTAGGATGCACAAGTTTTATCTAGGTGTGTGACCCACCTTCATTTCACTGCCCTGATTCTCTTTTACAAGCTGTATAAAGCCAGGGTCTGCACACAGAGAATTTGAAGGGTTCAGTCAACTGCTCACTTTTACTGCTCTTTTGATCCTAGTGCCTCATTTCTACGTAGTGTGAGACTGTGGGGCTAAAGGTGCCGTGGAGCAGACCCAGCACATCAGGATGTGTACTGACTGATCATCCGTGTCTCCACAGCCATTCTTCTTTTGTGCTACTTCTGAGCTTGTGTAGCAATATATTGCCTCTTCCTAAAGAGAAAGAATATACCACAGGCTATATTGCTCAAAACTATAGTCAAACCTCATTAATGCCAAGTAATTAATTGCATCTTAAAACTATGTGGTGAAACAAGCCATGTTCTGTGTAACTGACCTTTTTCACATAGCCCCTTACTTTACACAGTGTTTACAACAAAGTATCTTTAAAACCAGGTCCTACTTATTTCTTCAACAGTACTCCAAAAAAAAGGATATTATCCTGTAGAGGAAGCCAAACCATAGCGCAAAAGGACAACTGGATGTACAGCTAATCATGGCTTCAAGATGTGAATTTATTTCAGCCCCCATGACAGAAAATGCCAGAGACTTAAAACTTTGTCTGAAGTCCTTTATGCCCAGAAACACATGAAATCTAACTTTATCAGAATGTCAAAAGGCTGTTTTTCATGCAGATGACCTGTGAGCCTCATGAGGACACTACCAAAGGCCAAAAACCAAATTAATTCCTAAAGGTGTTGGGTCTTTATTTTGCTGAAGCAATTTCAGTGAGAAAAACATTCCTGGTAATTCTGCAGTGTTTGCTCAGATTCACAGAGGAGCTGTTATCTCTTTCTAGTTTAGTTTGATTCTTGGCAGCTTTTATATGAAAGGCTGTCTTGATGATCTTAAACACTTGATCTCAACAATGTTAATTTTTAGACTGTTGAGTGAGTTTGGCACATTTTCTTATTTTCTTATATGTCAGTTAAAAAAAAAAAAAAAAAAAAAAAAGAAAAGAAAAAAACTTTATGAGTTAAGATGCCTAAAACATTTTTGAATGCCACAAAACCTGGGCTTGCTTTTCTTTTTAAGAGTTTGCAACAGTATTCATGAATTAAGCTGCATGTGCCAAATTCTACAACTTCAATTCTCTCTGGTAGCACTGAAAATACAGAGAGTAAGGATTGCAGTATTTGGCTTCCCCTAACTTCAACTTCAAACATTTGTAAAAATGCAAGACATCTTAAACAGGGCTCAGAATTCAAAGCAAAGTTCACATACCCAAGCTGGAAAAAAAAAGAATTTGTGTGAATCCTGGCAAACAGAACACATGCAGCTGTGGAAATACACTCTGTTGTACACACTGCCTTTTTTTTATTGCTCTGCATGCATTGCCTTCCTCACCAGGCTGATTACTTCATTCAACTGAACTGGTTTGGTTATACCTGTAAAGTCTTAAAAGGCATGCACATTCTCAAAGTAATCCATTTTGGATATGTCCCTGTGGCAGTAAAAGGAACAGGTGGTGGTTTGCAATGACTACGATGCCTCGGACACATCAGCTGTCTGGAGAAGGTGTTCCAGCAGAGATTTCTCTATGCTACATTAAATTTTCAAAATGTTATTGTGAGTGTAAATAAGCTTTTTGAGTGTATTAAGTTCACCCCCAGGTGAAGAAAAAGTACCTTTTTTTTAAAAAACTTTCTTGAAAGCAATAGGATGATGGCAAGTCATTGTGTTCGAAATCTGAAACCCTCATTCAATAAGCTATCTGCCAGATACCAGCAAAGCACCATAGACCAGGAACTTTGTCTTCTGCAGGCTTTGTACAATTGAAATCTCCTCAATAAATAATATAAGCAACTCAGGGACTTGCTTTGACACAAGGAAATAATAAAACTAATTAGGTAGTAAGATCAGATTCAAATTGCTCCTGAGCCTGTTGATAATTCATAACATTCCCATACTATATCTAGAGTGGTCTCTTTGGCTGGAGTGGGAGTTGTTTTTCTTTTACTTGAGATCTATGCAATATAAAGGATTTTTTCTGGGGAACATTTCTTCTCCTCTTTCCTTTATTTTAAGTGATGGGGGAAATTAGGTTAATTATTCCCCTGTTAATTTAATTGTAGTGTACTTTAATAAAATAAAATTGGCTCATTTAAGTCAACTCTTGAAGGGGGAAAATAATTTTATGTGCCAGAAGGTGTGTTTATTTTAATTAGTATTTTCAGTTAAATACTTTTTTTTAATTTAATTCCATTTTAATTCAGAGGAGGTGGAGCGTTTTATGTATTAATGGAATATAAGACTTTTACATGTAGGTCACCAGTTTGAGTTCCTTCCAGATCTGTAGTGAATTAAAGTTGCTAGGATGCTGAACAGCTGTCAGTTAGAATGAGAAACATGATGGTCTCAATCATTGTCCTTGTGAGCAGGTGTCCAAATGAGAGTGACCACCACTACAACTGCCATTAATTAGCATCTGTGTTGGCAGCCTCTGCCAAGGAGCCAAGAGCAAGAGGGATATGAAGCCTGCACCATTCTCTTGCTTCACCTCATAAGCACCGCCGTGCTGAGCTGATGCACAGAAAGATGCAAAAAAGTTCTCACTGAAGTTACTGTTATTCCAGATCTGCTGTGCTAGAAGTCCAGCCTGTTAACCAAGCACTTAATTCCTTACAGAATTACAGTATGTGGTTTAATTCTCCAGCATGTTGCATCATATTTATAAGCAAGTATATCAAACGACTCCAAAAAGGAGTTAAGTCATTCAACATCACTTGGCATCACCAAGTTGATGGGAGCACAGTGACCTCCCAGTGAAGGTAAGTGAGTTCCAAGAACCATTTTCCATCAGCTGCCCTGGTTACACAGTAAGTCAGAGCCCATGTTGCATACTCAGGGCACACTTTGCTTTCATTCCTGTTGCTGGGTACTGAGAGCATCAAGGATTGTTAGTTTTGGACTGCAGATTCAATGTTGAAAAAGGTGATTTATGGGCAGTAGCTTTTACCAGGAGACAATACGAAGCAAAAGTAGGTACTGTTATTCAACTTCAGCCACATATTGAGGGACAATTAAAGAATTAAACTCTTCACTGATAACAGCCATCTAGCTGAGGGCTTTCCATCACACCTACCACTGTAATATTTAAAGACTTCCAGTCCACAGTGACTAATAATTCAGCACTGCTTAATAATACAGCCTCTTAATAAACCTAATCTGGAACTCTGCTCACAACAGTGAAAGCTCCCTTGTTATAAGACATTACAATCAAAAACACTTCAACTAATGTAATTAAATTTCTTTGTAAGTGAACTTTCATGATTGTATCTCACATCCAAGCCCTGATGGTATGTCACAGAGTAGCCTCGTATTTATATCAGTCACTATCTTGTGATCTGCTCAGACACATCAGTACTGAGGGCACGCAGCTGTTGTATCCTTGAATGGATGTTGTATACACAGATAAAGACTTCCCAGCAGGGAGGAAAACAAGACCCAGAAATAATCCACAGACACTGTCAGGGACAAGTTCATGCCAGGATCTCCTCCTCTCTGTACTGAGCCTTGACAGCTTAGCAACGCATAGGACTGAGCAAGAGGTACCATAATCAACTGGTTGTACAACAGACCTTGTTGTACAACCTTAGCAGCAGCAAGTGCCACAACAGGGTGTAAAGACTATCGCCAGAGAATGGATATGTGCAGAAAAACAGCAGCCAGCAGAACCTGGCTGTTTTTCCCCTGGTAGCTGTTAAAACTAGGACAGCTGGAGCACATGCTGATCGCAGCTTCACCAGGCAACTGAATGATCCACCCCTGCCTGTTTGGCTACTTTTAAACTGCTCTGTGGTGGGGAATCAGGCACAGCATACACCCACCCAAAGCAGGACTACGTGCCCTGCTCCTCAATGCCTTGTAAAAGCAAAGTCAAGGATTCTTAATCTTTTCACTCAACAAGACATTGCACAGTGACCAAATCCTGCCTGCCTTCTTCATATTCATAAAATAATCGAAGTCAGTAGTCCTAATTGCTTCAGCAAGGCAAGCAGGCTTCCCCCCTACATCTATTCACATGGCCTTGTTCTTTTTCACTGTGCTCAGACTCAATTAGATAATGTTAGAGGAGATAACAGCACAAAAATGTGATGAAATGTTCAGCATGATTTCTCTCTTCCCTGCCTGAGCTGCCTCTAGCCCTGGGGAAATGGTGTTACCTTCTTGCCTTCTTAGAGAAACATGTATTATGAATGACATAAACCTTCCCATTAGTTAACCCTTCTGATTGTTCCTCCATGTCACTGACAACCTTCAGCTGCAGTTGCATACAAAAAGCACAGCTTCGAGCATAAAGCACTGACCTCCTTTGGATTAAACCTTAAAATAGCAGGTAGGCTGCAGAGCTTGGACAAACTGTCAGCGTGATTCCAGCACCACTTTAGGTTGCACTTTAACAAAGCAGCACCCTGAAATGAGACTTGACACATACAGCAAATAAAGCTAAGCTTGACCTCTTTCACTGAAATATGCAGCAAAAGGAAAAACTCATCAGGCTTCTCCATGTGGCCTGTAGCAGAATGGCTAGTGCACAGACAGATTATTGCACACATGAACCAGCATGAGGAGCCCGGAGTGCCTGGTTCAGGTACCCTCTGTGCCTGTAAATCCCCAGCCAGTGTGTGCATGTTTCAGAGCCTTGTTGAAACCAGTATCCTTATTATCATATTTATTAACTCTGCATTACAAATACACTTCCTTACATCGTAGATAACTTGGAAATTAGTCCATGTTTGTACCAAGCACTGGAAGTGACAGTATGGATTTATAATGCCCTGTCTTGTTTGTGAAAGAAGGCAATGCCGCTGCTTTTGTGAAGACTGCAGAATACTGGAACATATATCTTATATACATTGTGGATATCTATATGCATGACTTGATCTTTCTGTGATAACCACTGCTGCTGCTGCAGTCTTTTAAGGATCTGTGCTATTAAAATGAATGATGACAATGGTTTCCAAAGAGCAGAATCATGTATTGCTGCACAATTCTGGAGAGCACAAGAAGGAATGGTACTGGGCGGGCACACAGGAGCATGCGCAGATCTGGAGCTCCCAGCTGAAGCTGTGCTGTTCTTCAGAGCGGTGCAAGCAAGAGAGATGCTTAGTCCCGTCTCTCCCCTTGCCTCCCTCAGGCAGCTTGCAATCCAGATCAAAGCATTTTGTTGTCCACCACAGGAGGCAGGGCTTTGAAGAGTGAAGAGCTAGGATGAGAGGTGGAAGGTGAGAGCACACTAAGAAATAATTTGATCAAGGAAGTAGAAACAGGTCTGGGAAAACAGGATTTAAATCACATTCAGACTCCATCTAGTTTGAAAATTGGATGGAAGCTGCCTTTTCTCATCACATTTCAGTTTCTTGGAACAAAGCCAACCCACTTGGGCTGAGGACAGTAAAAAAAAATGTGATAATTTTTTGAGTAGAAATAACTTTGCATTACAGTAATCAGCTATGAATCTCAGTCCTTCCCACCCCACAGCTCCTAAAGAGTGTGAGTAGTGTTCTAGTCTGTAGCTGTGCTTGGGGTTTAAGCTTTACACAGTCAGTTCAGTCTTAGAATTTTGTTCTGCTTTGGGCAAGTCAGGTTGATGTTCAGAGTCCAGCCAAAAAACCTTACCAAGGCTTCATCTTAGCAGTAATTCCTGTACAATGAGCGTGCTGGGGTTCAGCTGGGCATATTTGTCTATCTTGTTACAGGATTTGACACCAGCATACTACCAATCTGTAAGGATTCCTTAGGCTGGATGTTCAACAAACTTGACATGAACTATGACCTGCTGCTGGATCCCTCAGAGATCAGTGCCATTTATCTGGATAAGTATGAGCCATGCGTCAAGCCTCTCTTCAACTCTTGTGATTCCTTCAAAGACGGAAAGCTTTCGAACAATGAGTGGTGCTACTGCTTCCAGAAGCCAGGCGGTGAGTTGTGCAATTTGTCGTACAAAGTTGTTTGGGTCTCCCTGTGTTTCAGGTTTGATTGACCTGTGTATAGTGATAGTTTGATAATTGGCAGACAGCTGTGTTAAAAAGCTCTTTTCTCCAGCACTGGTGTGAAAGGGCATTGTGTAGCAGTGTTTAATGTCACAGATGAACTACATTAATATCCTTTGATCATGAAAACAAAAAAAGTAGTATGTTCCAGTGCACACAGTCTAGAAATAGGCTCTGTTGCTGATAGAAAGCTCAAGAAGTTACTCTTTTATTAATGTAGAAATTAGTCAATTAGCAAATCATAAATTAGAGAGCTGGCATTATGTCAGTTTGGTGAAAAAAGAGGAAAAATGGTTTAACAATGAAAATGGCCCCCAAACACTATTCTCAACTACAGTGTGTTGCTTCTTTTTTTCTTTAATTAGTGGAGCTAATGACATAAATTTGTTCTGCAGTACAGTACCAGCATATGGGCTTCTTTCGTTCCCAGGTGTATAGTAGTCTACATTTCATGTCAGTAGTGAAGCCAGTCATTACAGAGTTTGTCCCGTACCATCTGGAAACTGATTCTCATACATTATATCTTAGGTCTTCCCTGCCAGAATGAAATGAATAGAATTCAAAAGCTAAGTAGAGGGAAGAGTCTGTTGGGTAAGTTCGATTACTTGTTATTCATTTACTCAACTAATTAAAGCTTCTGTGATTATTGTAACTTTATATGCAGTAATGGTTTTTCAATTAGAGACTAATGTTTTGAGTCAGGAATATGCACAACAGAGCGTAGGCCTGACACTATGAAATTAAACAAATAATGAGATAGCAACATACAGAACAGGTGTCAGTGTGGCAACAGGTTCAGAACTAATTTACAGCTCTCCAGAAATGCAAAGCTTTGTCTGCACAGAGATTGATACTGCCTTCACCACCTTTTAGGTCAGAATAAATACAGAGGCTGCTTGATATTTAAGCCTCCCATTTAAAGGTTACTGAAGGTGTCACAGTGCAGGGCCAGTGGGTTCATGTCTTCTTCCAGTTATGGTTCAATTAATATATTCCTTGGGGTTCAGGTTTGCCTAAACATCCTTAAAAATATTTCAGTATATTCCATGTATCTGAAAACAGAAATTCATATAATCTCATTTTGGGCAGCCCTGCAGGATGCTCCATGCTGTAAGATGTGATGATGCCGGCCCCTCTCTCCATTGACTGTTGGGAGCCTGAACTGATTCCTAACTTACAGTGCTCTGATGGATATCTAAAATTAGGTGCCTCATATGGCATTTTCTCATTTAATTGCTAAAAATTCAAGTTGTTGAACTGAGTAAATTTAAAGTAACTAATTCCATACCCTAAAATCACAAAGTGTTATGTAGCCCAGTGTTTATGTGGTGGTATTTTATTGAAACTGCTGTCCTAGCTCATTTGTGTACATAGAGCCAAATCACGAGGCCTACTTGTACGGATTAAAGTCTCTGTTTGCAGAAAGCACTGCATTTCACCCTTAAAGTCAGGCTTACCTCAGACCCAGGCTGTCAGGCCCATCATCAAGAACCCGTGTCAGGTTCTCCCATCATCACTAGCTGCACCACAGAACATGCATGTCAGCTCTGCTGCAATGCTTCTCAGGTTGCTCTCAGACTTTAGTTTGATGTTTCTAGCTACTCATCAGCAGACCCTACAAACAGAGCTTCTGCAAAGCTCATCTTAGCCAAACCCTGCCATTCCCAGGTACCAGTACCATTTGGATTCAGGGTTCAGGTACCTTATGAAGAATCCCAACATGGATTCATTGGTTTAAAATAAGAATAAATATTCCCAAAGGCCACAGGGACTGTGGTTTAGTTCCATCATCCTTTCATAGCAGATTCACATAAAGATTAAGATACTTCAGAGCTACAACTCCTGCTGTTCATAGCTGTGGGAGTGAAGGGAGGATTGATCACTCAGTTGTATATGTGCCTCATTCAATAACTATTTTGCATTTGTGTTCAAATGCATGTTGTGGCAGAGGAAGTCATGGTGTTCCCTGTCTCAAGGGTGTCATGATTTTCAAAGCCACCTAAAAGAACAAGAAGCCCAGTTCCTGATAGCTTTGGCTACCCCATATTTATTCTATGTTTTGCTGTTATTTGCTATATGCAATAAATGTCATCTGTGTTGAAACATAAGTGGTTTGTTCCGGTGTGCAGGGAAAAATGATGGCTATATTGCAGGTAGTACAACATGCAGGCAGTTGTAGCACATCACTGGGATCTGATCACAATAGCAGGAGTAAAATGACAAAGTAAAAGCAGTAAGAATGGTCCCTTACCGCAAATAACTTCTAGTCAACTGTATTAAAAAAAAAAATGAAGGATGAAAGTGGCTAAACTCAACAAATCAAGAAGTGTCAGGCATAGGTTGTTCCACAAGCTAGAAAATTATAATATAGAGAGGAACTTTTTGCTTCACCTACCTTGAAAGTCTGCCTACATAATGGCACCAGTCTGTGAGATTTTAATCTGATCTCATAGCTATTTATACAACAGAAAACATTGTCTTTTCTCTTCACTGACTGAAAAATCATGCAAATGGAAACCAAAACATACACGTGACAAAAAACACGCTTGTAGCAACAATAAAGATTGAAAAGAGAGATGAATATTTTCAGAGAAACTAACCCTTAATTACTCTCTTTCCTTCTCTCTCCCTGACATATAGAGCAAAGCCTTTACAGTCTGGGCAGTGCGCATGAAGAAGAATTCTGTTAACTTGCATCCATTGATGAAAAATGATGACTTTTGATATTTTGTTCTCTATTTTTCAAAACACATGACATTTGCAACAAAGTACTTCAAAGCCATTGCCATTAGATATGTTGCATTTGGAGGCTTTCAAATAGAGTCTAGCATCAGGGGACTGAATTAAAAGTAAACAGCACTATACATCTTTTCCTGCCAGGTTTATCTAGAGTACAATTAACTGCAGAGAGTGTACTTTTAGACCATACAACTGTGCAGCCTGATAATGCTTCTCCCACATCACTAAGGTAATAAATTTATGCGCCCGTCACTGTTTTCTTCTGTATCAGCCCTGTGAATTCAACTAACGTAATAGCTAATACAGGGAGCTAGCACCTAATTCTGTAGGTTTTTACCTGTGTGCTTCACTATCTTTAGCATACAATTATTCTTCCTATGTCCTCTGAGGAAAAGGAGTATTATAAAGATAAGGAAATGATAAAAAAAAAAAGAGAGCTATAGGTCTGGATCCATAAAGAGGATATAGATTCATCAGATCTGTTCAAGTTTGTGTGGACTAATTTAATACTTCATGGGACAAAGAGGGATGAGGGAAGCAGGATTAAGTAGCCTGAGGCAGTTCAGTGGGGAGTGACTAACGTTTTATAGTGCTTAATAGTAAAGCCAGTCCACTAGCAATCCTCTCCCCTCTTGTGCAAGAACCTCTAGAGATGAAATGTGAACTCCTTTCTCCTTCTAAACCCTGCAGATGTTCTCTGATGCCAAACCAAATTATGGGGTGAAATGTTGCCACTAAATGGGGCTGTCTGAATGCCATGCTCCAGAATAGCAGAGCTTGTAGCCAGAGCTTATTTCTAATGAACACAGGGACTGATCTGTGTAGGATTATAGGACGAATCATCACAGTGTACACTTGTTCCCAGCAACTCTCTGTCCTCACCAGATTACCACCTGCACCTGGCACATTGGAGAGGACATGCTGTAATCTTCCCTCTGATGGTTGGCAAATACTGTAACATTAGTATGCACAGCTAAATATTTAAAGCTCCAGTGTTATATACAAATTGGCACAAATATCCCATGCAGAAGGAAAAGTACCTTCTACTCTTCGCTGTGACCCAAAGTGTGATTCCTTTCCACACACAGTTATGTTGGCAGCGAGCCTGGACCATAATTTATTTTTAAATCTATGGCTTTTATAGGCAGTGTGAAACATTTTAATACCTTACAAGAAACACAGTGAAACTATGCAAAAAGTCCTGTTTCAAAGAATAGAAAGGTCGTGTTGCCCAAGGGAAATGTCATGTTGCCCAAGGAAAAGAGAAAGCATGAGACAGTTTAAAATGCAGAGGCCATTCTCAGCTCACCTTGCAATAGCACTGAGGTTCTCCTTTTGATTATTTCCTGGAGCCAGATGCTCATCTGATATAACAGGGGAGCTCCAGTGACACGGGTACAGCTATGCTGATTTGTATCAGCTCAAAATCAGCACCTGAGAACTTTTCCCAAGGTTGTATATAGTCTGATAAACACCTGGAATGCTTAACAGATAGAGGACATGAGCATAAATATGAAAAAAAAAGCCTTTCTAAATCAATATTGAAATAAAGGATTGAATGGTGAGCATTAACTTACAAAAACCTGCAAAGACAAATACTTATACAAGGTTATTAGAACCTTTTTTTTATAAATAGTGAAAATTAGTCTTTGGCAGTCATCAGTATGGTTACACTTGTACATGAATACAATGGTGGTAACTATAAGTGAACCTGCTATAAGGTCATGCTTTGAAGTTATTGAAAATACTTTCGCTAATGGATGTGAAGTGGTCTCCAAAACTGATCCGATATACAAAGATTTCTGCAGATGTTCAAAGGTTTCTGTTCTCGTCTTTCAGACCTACATTAGCAACACTCAAATGTTAGACAAGATCTGCAGTGTGACAAGTTTGAAATGCAAGGATTCACTTTATATAGACATGTGTGTATGAGACTGACTGACTTCCACTTTTACATCTTTTATATAGGAAATTTCCTGACATTTGAGAATCACCTTCTCACTCATTTTTTCTGTGAGAAATGTACTGGAAATAGCCCCTTTGACACATGAACTGTCTGAAGAGATGCTGTACACATTGAACTAGTTAAAAAAATTACTGTGTGACCAGTAAATCACTGGTATCTTTGACAAAGAATAAAAATGCTTTCTCAAAAATCATTTGACACAAGAAATTTGGGGGCAAGGGTGGATCTCTGCCATGTTTCAAATTGAAGCGATTGGCAAAGAAGGGAAAATGACTGTACTGACCTCCCCTGGGAATAAAACTAACTCATCTCAAAGGACAAGAGGGATTTTCATACTGAAGTACATTTGCTATATCTGCTGAAAATGGTGGGAACAATAAAACAGGTTTCTCCTGAGAGCTTCCCTGTCTGCAGAAGCCAGAATGAACCACACTCTACAAGGCTGAACTATATTGGTTTTATTGTGAGACAAATCTCAGGCTTCAAATCCAACGACTTACTCACTTCAGATCCTGTTTTCCCTCTCTGTATCCCTTATGCATTACTTTTTCTTTTATACATGGGAATGCGCAGTAAGTTGGAAGTTGAGCTTCAGATTACTGTGAATAGCAAGCAGATGGCAGATACCTTCTAGGGATAATTACAGTGTTGTGGCAAGACTTATATGATAAACACTGAAGGAGTGCAAATGGAAGGGAAATGCAGAATTAATGAAGTTGGGGTAATAATCCAGTTGGGAAGAAAAGTTTAAAACCAGGAGTTAAATCTGAAAGGGGCTCTATGGGAATATTAATCGTTCAGGGACAGACTGAACCTATCTCTAGTACCGTCTGTCATCACCCTCTGTGTGCTATATATGCACAAATATTTATGTGCTGTGCAGTGACCAGGGTGCCTGAAAATAGTCAATCATATATAATTTCTGCTCCCTTTTAGGCACCAGATAATCACATGTATTTTCTTCCCAACATTGTAAAGATCTTCATGTAAATAAGTGACAAATTCATAATACTCCTTATACCTGCTTGTTTCTACAGAGGCTTGAATTACTGATTACACCTTATATTTTATTCAGGTGCTTTCATCCCTCGGTGCAATGAAGAAGGTTATTACAAAGCCACTCAGTGTCATGGCAGCACAGGGCAGTGCTGGTGTGTTGATAAGTACGGGAATGAGATAGCTGGCTCAAGAAAGCAAGGGACAGTAAGTTGTGGTGAGTAATGATGTGCTTTCCTCAGACAAGAAAGGAATTAACACAGTTGTAAGCCCTGCCATTGCTGTGCGATGGAGTACGATAACAAAAGTGACAACAGGGAAGCATGAATACCAGTGTTCAAAGTCCTCCTGTATTCTCATATTCAGACTACAAATAGGGTCCTTATATATATATTGGTCCTTTGAACTGGGAGAGTGCAGCAGAAGCTAACAATCAATAACCACTGATAAGAATATATTTTTGGTAGCAGCCCGGTAAATGTATTAACTGATATAAAAATTAAGGCTATGGGATTTCTATGTGTAGTTATTAAAGATATTGTTCCGTATACTCTGGAATACACATTTACTGAGACTTCATGAATAATGTCTTTCCAGATAAAAAGAAGGGCTAAATATGTAAAATTTTATAAATTAACAACCGAGCCAAATAAAATTGCTGACAGGACAATATTATGTAGATATGTGAAATCACCAATTAGCTGTTATACCTAGGCAAGCAAGATTTCAGCTATATTCCTTCAGAGGGTTTCAGTGATGGTTGTGGATGCAGCTGTATTCTTTGAGAAGGAAGAGAAAAAGTAGAGACCTAGAAGGTCTGAGATGCCCAGAATAGCTACATTTGCAGAGCATGGTTTATGTACTCAAAATCAATTTGTGGAATATTTTTAGCCTGGTTTACAGAGTTGTGATGGGATGGATGTATTTACCAATGAGAAATGGTTTTCTGGCCTGCATATATGTGAACTGAGACTCTCCAGATGAGTCTCTAGGAGGAGGATGATGCATAGGTTTTTATGCAAGTAAATTTTTCAGAATCAACTGATATATATTTATCCCAGTTCTGGATGAAAAAACAAAATTTAGAGGTTGTTTCATGAATAGCTGAACCAAGGAATTTAGAAAGTAACATTGCAGATGACAGTGGCTTGAATGACAATGGTAGTGATGAACAAGGGATTTGGTGCCATGTGAGGGAATGACCTTTCCTGCTCACCTGTTTCAGAAGAAGAGCAAGAAACCTCAGGGGATTTTGGCAGTGGTGGATCTGTTGTATTGTTGGATGATTTGGAAGAGGAACCTGAAGCAGCAAAAAAAGATAAAGACGGGAAACTGAAGATTCATGTAAGAGCAGCTAATGAAGATGATGAAGATGAAGATGATGATAAGGATGATGAAATTGGTTATATATGGTAGTGCCCATCGTAATGAGGACTCACATTTTGCACAATATTTCAAGTCACATCATATCTCTGCAATTGTATCTGAGAGTACCTGGCACAAATATTCCCTCTCTCCACTGAGTTTAATTTTGTAGTCTATTTAATTTGGAAGACAACTTTTTTTTTTTCCAGCAAGGACTGTTTGGAATATAACTTTTGTTCAGTTGGTTTGGGGGATTTTTGTTTTATCCACAGGGGCAATGAGTTTTGTTTCAAAAACATTTCATGTCTTAATCCTCACTTGCACATCTTATGAAATATATCCTGTGAAAGAAGAATCACAGAAGGGGTTCAACAAACCAATAGGGCTTAGAAGCCCTTCTCATGTTAGAGAATTTGTGTCATAAGTTGTTACCTGGATCATATCAGAAACAGTTATTTTTCTTTCATGAAGAAGGAAAAGTAGGTGCCTCATTTTCTAGTCCATATTTGTTATGTTCCAGTAAAGAGTAAGTCCTTTGGATAACAACTTCTGGCTGCCCAGTGTTTGGGGTTTAATCCAGAGAGAAACCCACTGGTAGGACTTTCTCTTCCTTACATTCTCTGCTAATGGGTCCACACTGATGGCAAAACTCCCACAAGAGAATAGATCAGCTCACTGACACAGTTTATTTGGTTAAGGAACATGGCCTTGATCTTAAGAGATGCTGAGAACCTGTAGCTATGATGGACCAAGCCCTACAGGCAGGGAACAGAGTCCATCTGCCTTTCAAAGTGTTTAAGGAAAGAGTGTTTTGTGAATTTGTAGCATCATAACCCCCTCCGTAACTGTTCCCCAGCTTCTGTCTGAACTCATTTGCACCAAGAGTTGCACTAACATCATGTAGGCAGCCTCTGCTTCCTGCTCACACACGATGGATCTGCCTGTTCTTACTCTTAGCAATCCCTCATTCCAAGGTTATAAAGCTGTCAAAGACACTAACCATCAAAAATAATAAGCTGTCATTTCTTTAATTTAAATAGTTAATATTTATTTGGCCTGTTTAAAAAAGCAACTTTAGGTGGTCATGTTTCAAAAGCATAACCCCTTTGCTCAGTGTGACAAGCTGCACACTCATAATACACATACATAAAAGAGAATAGTATTAAAATACAATCTGTGATTCCCTCAGCATCTCCATATATTCATAGCTCTTCAACTGTATCACAGCATGTTTATATTAAATTATTTGCTGTGTCCTTTCCCATAGCAGTTCTCTGATGCAGTAATGTACTGTGGTGACCTTTTATTATTTTTGCTGGGTTTAGAAACATTAAGAGGTATCTTAGCCCACTCTTGCATTAGGATACAAATATAAGTATTTTTTCAGTGCCTGTGATTTGCCTGTAAGTTATTTTGCAGAATGAAAAATGTGCTTATAACACAGAAAAATAATTAGATTGAATTTTTTTTCCCTCTATGTTAGTGTTCGCTATAGAGGTGGACACATATGGAGTCAAAATATGGCTGGTTACGTATTCACTCAAAAGCAGGAAAATACCATGCTGGGTGACAGAAGTCAGTTTTTTAGGAACACTGGCCTGAGGACTGGGGTCCTCAGTGCTTTCCAGAGTCAATGCCCACTGCAGAGTCTGGCAGCCTCTCTCCTTCTGTGTGTAGGACCGCTGCTTTCAGACATGATCAGAAGAGCAATACAGAAGAGGATCTCCTTTCAGACACCATGTGGTGTAGGGGCTCAGTTGTTTTCTCCTCTTTCATTTCCTATTTAGCTAGATTAATGACCTGAGAACAAAGAGCATGCCTGCATAATTGTTATTAATGCAGAAGGATGTGTAAAATTATGAGGAATTTGTTGTGTGTTGTTTCACGCCCCCACATCCTCCCAAAAATCTGCCATCACAGTCGTTTGCAAAAGGCCTGCAATCTGCCCTGCCTCAAATCCCTTTGGTTTTCCTATAGCTTTTGAAAATTTATTTTAAAATCATTGTCCATGAGCTGCACAGCACACACGCACACTTTTTCTATTTGCTTTTCCTAGAAAATTATGCTGACTTGCAAGAGGAACAGATACAACCAGCATTTCTGTTTCCCTAAATAGTATGATTCTGTGAGAAGCAATTGCACACCATCAATAGCTTGCTTCTCAAACATCGTGGCTGGTTTCCTTATGGTATTTTATTAATTAAACCCTTACTCTCTGGGTCTAGCTCTGCTGCCCTGTGCAGGACTTGCCTGAGGCACAGAGTTGCCCTTTCACTCTGACATAAAACTGAGGACCACAATCAGCAGAGTTACACTTATCCTCCTGACTGGACTCATTCTCTACACACAACTAGTTTTTTCTGCAATCCCGTGACCCTTTGCACTGGCCTATCCTGGAACTATGACGTACTTCAAAGGCCACAGAGTCCATCCCTTCCCCTGCCCAGCACCTCACCAGGTTAAAGCCTGCCTAACCAAGCCCTTGCAGGCAGCTCCAGGGTCCAAGGCTGCAGCCCTTCTGTGTCATATGCAAACATGCAAGGTGGTTAAATAAAAGCTGTTAAATAAGACTTTAAAAGTGAACGTGGACGTCCTTCAGTTTACATGAGCAGACATCCCACCACCATCCATTTCTCAACACCATTGAGCCTCTCCTAGCTGTAATCTCTCACATACAACTATTCCAAATCAGAGCTGGCAGGCATTATATATTTCTTTCAAACTATAAAACAATTACAGTCTCTCAGAATCACCAACTCAAACACGCTGTGGGTCCCAGTCAAACGGCTCTGTGCCCAGCACAGCAAGGTAAGAGGGCAGATGTCTTGGCTGGTTTACCTGTCTCTGGTAGCACCTTTCCCTTCACACAGAAACAAAAAACAAAACAAAACAAAACACACTTACAGACGTTTTAAGCCCACTGGCCTGGATTCAGGAAGACTCCATCCAGGTGATCGTTCAGTCGCCTGCTTCAGATGTGCAAAGATTCTTCTGAATCAGGGCCAGCATTGGAAAATTGCCACTTTATTGACTACTTCAGTTGGGTACGGCTACAAGAGAGTTTAAAGAGAGTGGTGTGGAATCACAAGGTGTCACAGCTGAATCAGGAACAGGACAGATGGGCTGTCATGCTTGGAAGGGCAGCTCAGCCTATGGATTGCTTTAAGAGCAAATTCCCAAATATTACAAAGCTATTTAGCAAAGCCCTTTTGTGAGCTACTGGTTTCCTCCAGTGCCTGGGGGATTTGCAGCCTATATATACATTTGTATATATATGTGTGTGTCTATATACATTTATACACATATATGTGCGTGCATATGTGTGTGTGTCCAATTTGGGAAGATGCATTAAGAAAATGTTTTATTTCTTTAAAATAAACCAGTGATTCTACCAAGAACCAGTGCTCTTCCAGATCAAGTCCCATTCTTCATGCTTTGAAAAGTATCTAATTTGATTCCAACTTTTAATTCCTTTCTTTTTCTTTTCTTTTTTTTTATTTTTTTTATTTTTTGCAAAGGAGGACTTCCCATCTGCATCAAGTCATTGACCTTCCAAACATTTTCTCATTGTAAAAAATAGAATCAGAGTTGTCCCATTCTTTTAGAGACACCAATTTTTAATCTCCTTTTCATATTAGAGATGGTGATGTTGAAATACTGTTAGGTATTACTTTATGTTTCAAGGTGTCCTTTTAACTACTGTGGTTAAATCAAAATCTTTTTGAGTTCAGATTTCAGCACAGTTGGGTTTTTTGGGTCATTACTGGCCTTTGCTGTGAACACAAAGAATCCTTTTCCTTTTCTTTGCCTTTTTTTAAGCTATTCTGTTCTATTATTTTAAACCATTTGAAATGTTTATTTAATATTTATTCTACAGTTTATATTGAAAATGTAAAGTTTATATTTAAAACAACACTTTGTTAGTGAATGCTTCTCTTTGCCTCTCCAGCCTAGTCTGTTAGTCTCAGTGTACATTTCTGGCATGGGAATATTTTGATATTAGAAGTTTTGTAGCATTTTTCCCCTCAAGCAGCCAATGACATAGATCTAAGGTCACCACTTGATACAGACCAACAGATCACTCAAGCTTAGCTTTCTACATTTGTTGGCTTTTATTGCAGTCCCTTCTGTATGCCATTCAAGTTCGTTTAATACATAGACTGCTTTGTACAGTTACTATACATCAAAAAGCCCTTTCTACAGTAGGTGGGTTTGGTCTTTTTATACTTTTCTCAATGCTGTTGATGTCCGTTACTGTTAACCGTGTAGATCTGTAAGGAGAAATCCAAATATTACGTGTTTCAGTTTGATGTCCCTACTGTAGATGGATGTAGACTACCATAGTAAGTAGAATTGCATAGTAAATTCTGAGTGCTTTTTCCATAAGGAGTTAAGTGGAATGTGAGCATTTTGCTATCTTTGGTTAACTGTAAATGCTTAACTGTAGTCTGAAATAGTTGCATTTTTGTCTGTCTCAATAAATTTTAATTTGTCTGTGACTCCTTATTGCCTGTCCTGAATTTTATTAAACTTTGGAGATCAAAAATACTGCAGTACCTTGAGTCAGCAGTTAATCATGCATGGAAATGTATGGTCTTTTATATTTGGGTTATACCTTATACCTCTGTTCAATGTCAGCTGTAATATGTGAAGCTAATGTAAGGTCTCTAGAAAGCTGTATTTCAAAAGCAGAAATGAAACCAAACAGAAAGTAATAACTGTGCCAAAAATCAGAACTTTTAAAATTACATTAAAATTGATCTTTAAGGAACTAACGGATGGGGGCAGCTTTCCATTTTATTTCTTCTTCAGTTTGCAAATGATGTTTTTCTGTGTGTTCTGAAGGTATCCAGGGCAATTATATAAACACAAACATGTTCTACAGTGCCCATGATCTACACTACAAATTAAGACAAAATAATACTGAATACAACTGGGGAGGAAGCCACCCTCACTTAGAAATACCTGGGTTTGTGTCTCTTTTATTAAATTAGAGATCTTCTTTAGTAATATTAACTAATTTAAACAGCAAACATTATTACAGTGCTAATCAGAATTAAAAATATTATTCCATCACCTTTCCTCTGTATGTGCAATATTAAAGTACCACATGAAAGCATGAAATATATTTTCAAACATTTGTGCAATTATAATCTCATCATTTATAACTTGTCTGTCCATGTACCATTGGCTGAGTTCTGTCATCTAGGGTCAGAACCTGCCTTACATTTCTGTTAAATTGACTGCATTTGTTAGTTTATTTTTACTTTGGGTACAACACATTATTTTCAGTATGTTGCCTTACCTGATTGTGAGAACAAATGGGTTTTCCCTTTCCAAAACCACTCTGAGACTCTTCGAAGTGTTTGATCTGTCATATTTAAGTGCTCCAGCTGTGCCAGATGTCAGAGACCTGGAAGGCAAGCAAAGAAAATCTGAAGCTTAAGAGTGTGCGAGTTGCAAATGAGATTTCAGTTGTGGGGAAGGGCTAATGATTTATTTGGGGTTTTTTTATATTACTTCTAGATTCAAAATTGAAAGTGTCTTGCAAGCTTTGTTTTGTATTACATGTGCATAGCTATGCACACACACACCCCTCTTTTCTATACGCAGATGTACATATATATGCACTCATCATGTGTGTGTGTGTATATACATCCAGTATTTATGTGTATATATACACATACTGGTATGATCACTTGACCTGAGAAGTGTTGATCAAGGCCAAAAAGTGCCAGAGTATTTTAGGGGAGCACAGGACAGCTCACGGTGTGCATGGGGACTTAACCCCCAGTTACCCAGCTGGCAGCATCTCTGCCATCTCTGAGGAGCTGCTGTGAAGAAAACTGGCAGGTCCCTCCCATTACCACCTTCCTGCTTCAGTCACTGCTGCCTTTAGACTCTCCTGGGTTTGGGATATCCACTTCTGGGAACTCCTTCCTTGACTCACATAAGATTGAGTTGGTGTTTTATCACCTATAGTTTGCTAATCTCTTGTAACAACTTGCACCAGGCTAAATGCTGTGAATTGGTACACTGGTTTCATACATTAAAACACAGTAGATTATTCTGCCCCACCTGTCATGTTCTGATAAGTTGCATTTATTTATATTTAGCTTTTCCATTATTCTGTCCTGATTGGATGAGGATCTTGGATTAATTTTTATGAACTGTCTACCAAGGGATACAACCTTTACTTTCCTGGTCATAAGCAGGAGTGTCTGCAGCTGAAATGTTGCTCCAGCAATGGCAAAAGGTCAGTTTGGGCTTAAGATAAAACAGGGATGGCTCTTACCTGGAGGACTGGGAGATATATGCACCCAAACATTATACTTGTCATCCTCAGTAAAATCTGCAAGACCAGGCAGTACCACACTGGTGGGGGGCGAATACCTCTGCATGGAAAGGGGCACACTTGATAAAGTTACAAGATTAACCATTCACAAAGAAATAGCCTTGTTTTCCCCTGTTTTCCAATATATAAATATTTTCCTTATTTTACTGATATTATTTTGCGAAAGACCATACTGTTCTTGTTTTGTTGTGTGAAACCTCCACTCTGTGATATTTTCTGTTATAAAAGTTTCTGTTGAGATCCACACCAGCTATAAAACAGTAGCATTACAGCCTTCACTGATGATTAGTTTCATTTTTCCTTAAATACTGACAGTCAAAGGGTAAGTTATTAAAAAGAAAAATCATGTCACAACAGCTTTGCACACTGTACGGCTTTTTGAATAGATTAAAAAGAGGCAGGGAGCTATTAATAAGCTTTTGACTTTCTGAGCACTCCCGTTTTTGAAACTAGACTATCTTTCTCAGCAGGGGTGGGGGAAGCAGAGTAAAGAGTAGGCTTTATGCAGTCTTGGAAAAAGAAAAAAAAATAGTGAAACAAATAGATTGAGGCAAGCTGTGAATGTGAGGGACAGACCCACTGAGCGTAGACAGAGTGGTCTTACCCGCCACTTTTAGGACAAAGCCAACTTCTCTTCAGTGGAAAATTCCCCTTGACTTGAGCAGTTCAGGATCAGCCCATCACAACCCACAAACTGCAGAGGCAGGTTCCTGCTGCAAGCTGGGTTAGTCCCATCCTCTGTGTGCAATATGCAGTAACAGCTTGAAATGAATCCCTGAAAACTAGGATTAAAAAACCACAAACCACACAGTGGCACTCAGGGAGGAAGAGCAAGGCCAGAAGCAAATTCAGATTTTGCCAGCACTCTATCAGACCAGTAATGAGGCAGAGGTATGTAAAAAGCTCTAATGTGTGTATTCAATGGCTATGAAGCCACCCTCCCAGCTGTAGCTGTGCAAGAAACTCCTCTGCTGATAACAGATTTAGAAAGAAATACAGTGTCTGGCAGCTACTGGTCTTGAGTATCAACTTCTTTCACATATCACTATAAATTCCTGCAATTCCATGCTAAAGGGTTGGGCAGAGAGAGAGTTTGCAAAGAAAACTTAAAATGCAGGGTCTCTGCCAGGTAGTAACTGCCTTTTCTCATCTATAGTTACTCAATAAAAATCATTGCTGGAGCATGACTCTACTTCCATTCCCAGCCAATACATTTGCAATCTGGCCCTTAAACATGGGAAAATCGACCCCCAGAGCATATTGTTAGAGGAAACATCCAGAAGCACATTGGCTTATGCTTTGAAAACATATTACCTCTGAAATTATTTGCAGGTTTTGAGAGACTTGCAGGTTTTGACACTGATTTTTCTATGTTGAATATCACAAATCCTGTTAATGCAAATATATTCAGGTAAGAGTCTGTACAAGCAGAAGCATACAGACACGGCTTTGCTCCATCACAGATGATGTATCAATTTATCACAACTTGGCAAGGAATTGACCTAAATAACTACTAGCCTAAAGTAAAATTAAATAAAACTGAGACTGTAACAAGATGTAGGTTTTCACAGATTAATGTAGGCTATTGAAATACTTTGGGTTACAAGGGGCTATTACAGAAGATCAATATTCCCATTGCTTTTGGTACAACTCACTCAAGAATCTGACACCTGCAATGAGCTTTGGTGGTCGTTAGTGACATTAATGCTGCAGTTCACCTCCAGTCCTACTGCAAGAGCTGCTGCTGTAGTGGGAGGAGTTGGGGTGCAAATAAATACGTCTGCTGAACTCCTCCCTTGTCATGGACCGCATCGGCCAGCTTTGAAAGGTGGGCACTATTCAGTTACTCAGAAGGAATTACCATAGATTTATGTCAGCAAGAAAGAGAGCGCAATTTGGCTCAGCTGTAGTGGTAGAGACAAACATCAGGCTGATTGTTAAACAACCCAAAATAACTCAGATATCCTCTCAGAGCGGGGCTGTCGTCCCATCTGGTCTCAAGCCCAGTTTTCACCCTCAGTTGAAATCATTCTCTCCTAACTGATTCTTCTGTAGGGTTTGGGGATTTCTTCTTCTTCTTTTTTTTTTTTAAATTTTGTCCCCAAGCCTATGAGTTAATTAAGTTTTAACAATGAGCTGTATCACTGTAGAGCAGGATATCTGATGGCTCATCTGTTTTATATAATTGATTAATTAATAACCTTGCTAATTGAGGCTCATGAAATTCTCTGTTAAACTGAAGCAAGGCGATGTCCCAAAACTTTGCTTGTAGGGTTACATTAAACTCAGGACATTTTGGCTGCTCCATCTCACCCCGGGTCAGTGATGCAAGTCATGGCAAAACATTAACTTAATGGGGCTCCTGGACTGCTGTAGAGATGCGTGATTTGGTGGGTGAAACTTGTTTTCACCTGGACCCCAAAATTTCAAAACTGCTCCCCCCTTTTTTCTTCTACACCCCTAGCAGCCACTCCTTGTGTTTGTGAACTCAAGGGCTGTCTCTCTTGCTTTACACCACCAGCCACCACTTACATTTTACAGAGCAGTATAGCCCCATAGACAATTTTAGTTAGTGACATTTTCTACCACTTTTGGCCAACTGTGAATGCCAGCACGGCTATAAAATAAAGTGGCAAAACGGCCCTCCCCTCCCTGTTACCTGAAAACTGCAACATGAGCTCTTCTCAAAGGCACTGCATTTGACATGATGTGACCTACGTCTTTTCTTTGGAGCAATCACAGCTGAAATAAGGCATAACTTGATGGATTCTGTGCTATTAAATGGAAGAGGACTATCCATGGAAATAACCACCGACAATAGCTTGCATTTTAATGTCATTTCCTTTCTTCTTATTATACCTAGACATGAAGCATGATGTATTTCTACCACGTGATATTGTCTGTAAGCCAGCAGTAAGATGAAGGGATGCAGTCTTTGCTTTAAACACTGCTCCTGAGGGTGCTTTCCAAATGAATTTCAGTTAGCGAGCAGCAAATATTTTCCTTCAAATCTGTCCACTAATGAAATGTTTTTTCAGTCCTAACCCACTTGTATTTAACTAGACATAAACCCACAGCAACTTCACCAAATGCTCAGGGATTTAGTCCACCCACAGAGGGCAGGTGACCAGGGACATTCCTGCTGTGCTCTGGGCAATGAGTTAAAGATGTCCTAAGACAAAGCAACCATATTCTGAAACAGCAAATGGAGGTCTAAGTGTCATCACTCACCTTAATTTTCAGAAGTCGAGAGTCACCCAGGAGGCCAGGGTGTAAATCTGCCAGCCCCTATCCATCCCAAACCTCTTCCCACAGTGCTTGGTCCATCCTCAGTGCTGATCTCTGGATGCTTTATAACCTCTGCAGCAGTGGCTAAACCTCATCCTTAATTCAGGCTGCAGTCCCACTCACACTGA